GATAGGCCAATCGGCAGGGAATTTTTAGAAAAACAAACAAACAAACTACAGCAACCGACTAAGAAAAAAAAAAAAAACCGCAACGATTTTAAAATTTATCAAAGTATTTTATTTATAAATTCATAATTATTGTTTTTTCCTTTAAAATCGCGTTTTTGTGGGACTTGTATGAACAAATTAAATATTCTCAAGTCTTAACTATATATTTTTTTACCTTGTTTGGTAAGAAAAACACACCCTATTTAAAAGCCTACAGATGCAGCAATAATGATAACAAACCAGATTCTAAAATAAAAGATTTCGTTACGATAACATCTATACATTTCCAATGGCCACCAAGCCACCCAGGAAGAAAATTTGTTCTTATCTGATTTTGTTTTTTATTAATGGACCGGAAAAAGTAAACTATCTTGCTATATCATACAATGAAGTGTCGTATAAAACAATCTATAGAAAAAATTTACGCAAGACCTCCTCCCTTCCTGAGTCTTTCCTGTGATAAACCTCTGAGCCCGCAATCCGGACAAGAAGACGCGATCGACATGGAGTATACTCGTCGACTTCCGATTTCTTTTTAATTTCAACAGGGAGAAATGAAGCCAAACTCGTGATTCGTTGTTAAAAGAGCAGTAAATTATTCGGTAATTTAGCCATGGAGTCATTTTATGAAGTGGTGAGTCTTTATTATGTTGTTAACTGGTATTTAATTTGTATACAAATGATCAGTGATTTGCGGCTTCGATCGCAGCTGTTTATGTATTGGAATGAACTCGAATTCCTATAACATCGATCTTTTTATTTTCCAGGGATCTCGAGTATGGCTTCTTGAGGGAAAAGATTGGGTCCCCGCCACAGTGACAGAGTCTAAAGGAGCGGAAGTTACCTTTCGTACAGAATATGATAAGGTAAAGAAATCAAAAGTCTCGTCAAATTGTCACCCTGTCTTTGCAAATTTAATGGCATTAAGCGCGGCATTGAATGCTATAACTTGCAGGGGATAAAATTCAAAACAAACAATTAAACAAGTTTGAGGATTCTTACCGTGAATTCTCGAATGTGGTTTGTTTAATTATTGTTGATAATTAGGCATGAAATCTTTAGTTTACTTTGCATACCGTATTTCATTTTGCACCGGCCCTGTCAGGTTTGCCGAAAATACAATGAACGTCACCGTAAGCTAAAGAGGATTAAAATAACTATCTCAGGTTGAATTTTATATTATTGAATCTATTCCTTGCATTTCTCTTCTTCTTTTCTTTTCTTTCTACAAAAAATCCGATTGTCGATTAATACAATAAATTTCTTTTTGACATTTTTTGGCCATTAGTAAACACATACTTATGTAAAATATAAGCTCATGTGTGATGAGTATCCGGCGGAATATATATATACCTCGAAAGACTAACTCGACATATATCGAGCCCTAAACTAGGATATGTAATAGACATGTAGGGTGCCCTGACAAATTGACCAAAGGAGATTTTTCGGCTTAGAACAATACTGGCTTTAGGTCACCTTTGTCCTTTTACAAAAATGGTAATTTTATACTGACTGAGTAAGGTAATTTTAATACGTTGTGATTCAATTTAACCTTGGTTCACATTTTATTTTCCTTTGTGTCAACGTTATATATTACCATACCCTCAAAACAAAGAAAAATAAAATTTAAACCAAGAATAAATTGAACTGCAACACTGGTGCTGATCTAGCGGATGCTAAAAAGTCTGTAATTTATTTTTGGCAGGGATCTAGTTACTGTCTGTACTTCCAGGGTATTTGTTGTTGTGACTTGTCAGGAAGCAAGAGTTGACTGTATTTTCTTTCTAAACACACAATACTATTGTTGCAGTCATGCCAGGTCAAACCTACTAAATGTACAACCTGTATCCTGATAGATTAAATTATCCATAAATTATTTATTGATGAAAAGTAAAACTGTTAGTCCTCGCCACAACTATAATCAGATTATCTGTATCTGTGCATACATAATGAGTGGTGAATTTTAGACTAAAACTTCATGTTATTTAGTTAGATGGAAAGATCTCACAGGAAAAAATAACAGATTCCCATTTTTGGATATTTTTGGGTATTTAAAGAATACCCATAAAAATCCCAAATTTGGCAAAGTGAGACAAGTCCCAACCAGGGAATTCCCAACTAAGTTCCCTGATTGGGACTTGTCTCACTCTTCCAAATTTGGGATTTTTGTGGGTATTCTTTAAATACCCTAAAATATCCAAAAATGGGAATCTGTTATTTTTTCCAGTGTCTTGGAATCGATAAGGTTGGCACTACAAAGATGTAAATTCACTGCCTATTATGCATGCCCATGCAGAAATGCAGGGGTGAACCAGGCATCTATTACAGTCAACAGATTCAACTTCCAAATAATCAATTTGTTAATTGAATCTTAGAAGTATTCTTGACCTGGCTTCACTGAAGAAGTGAATTATTTTGCAGCACAAATACAAGAAGATCATGGGGGAAGGGGGTGTAGATAACCTGCGCCACAGATGAAACTAAACTCTGGTTAAGTCCTCGCTGCGAAACAGTGCTGAAATCCTTGTTCTAGGCCCCAGCCTGTGTACCAGGATTTGACTATGCGTCATGGTTGGCCTATTAAAAAATCCATTGTCAATTTGCCAATCAGAATGAAAGGAAATTTGAAACGCATTTCCGGTAATTTGTTGAGTCTGTTGAAGTCCCAAAACAAGGATCTTGGTGCTGCTTCACAGATGTTACTGATGGTGGTTAAATTATGTCTGTGACACAGCCTAGGGGGATGAAATAAGATGACAGTGACTTAAGTGACCCTGACCTTATTTTTTCCTTCCATGAACTCTTTTAGAGACAACTAGACAGCACCATCAGTAAAATATTTTCAGTTGTGGGCAGTGTAAAAGTTCTTCAGTCCAGTAAATGTAGAATAATAGTGAGTTTACGCAACAGGATGGCAGAAAGAAGAGGACAGCAAATTCCTTGAGTGTGACAAACGTGACAGGGCTACAACTTGCGTGTTTTGTCGGGAATTCACTTAACACTGATGTTTTTTACTCTTCTACAAAAAGATCTGTTTAAAGGAATGTGAAGTTTGGTGAAAGGTTTTTTCAAACAAAATTTTTGTCAGCTTGTCACGCTAAGTTTGCCTTCGACCTTTCTCTCCGTCCAGTTGCGTAGATAAGTTAGTGGAATCAGTTGACAGGGTAGGAAAATCTATCAAGTTAGTATTTAAACGACCTTCATTTTTTGAAAAGATACACTCTGTGGCTATATCATTCTACTTTACTAAGTGGTACACAAAAATTCCATGAGGACTTCCTGTTTTAGCGATTTATCCTTTAAGAATAGTTGCTAAAGGGGTACCATTTTTCAATGGAAGGTAAATGAAAGGGGTTTCCTCTTCTGTCAAAAATGGTATAAAATAGGGTAAGGGGTTGGCCTGCAGGGTGAAGCCTCCCTGTATAAAACTTTGTTGAGACTAACCCCTAGGGGTTCCTCCGCAAAATGACATCTGAGGAGACTGACTGCAGAAATTTCATAAACAAATTTTCAACCAATCAGAAGCACTACCCAGATTTGGTAGTCATGCCATCAGTACGGAATTTCTGCTCCAATGTTCTTCCTTAGCCAGAGCCACAGACAGAGGTAAACTTCTGGTTAAGTCTGTTTGCAAAACAGCGTAGAACTCCTTGTTCTGGTCTTCCAACTGTGTACCAGGATTGGAATACGCACCATGATTGGTCTGTTAAAAATGCCATTGTTGATTTGCTAGTCAGGTTGAAGGGAAATATAAAAGGCATTTCCGGCAATTTGTTAAGTCCATTATGGGGGAACAAGGCTATCGGCCCTGCTTTGCAGACTTTACTAACTGGGTTTAGATTACATGTACGTCTGCCACGCAGGTTACTTGTTCCTCAGACATCACATTGAGTGGTGGCATCGTAACATGGTGGCTGTTATCTCAGGCTACAATTGACACTGCTAGAAGTCCTCAGAGTTACTAATTGTTACAAACATTTATTTGGTGGGGGGGGGGGGGGGCATGTTTGTGCCCCCCCCCCTTGTCTGCAAAAATTTAGTGACTTTTTGGAGCTATACATTTGATTTTTTTTAGCATACCCCTCAACTCTTTAGGCTAAATATTGAACAATTTATGGAAGTTAAACTCTATATTTGCCATTATACAGACCTACAGCATTGCCAAAGACTCTCTTAACAGACAGAAAGTCACTACGATGCATCAAACAAGTGTGGATGGAGTGGATGATATGGCTAACTTAGGTGATCTTCATGATGCCGCCATTCTTCATAATCTTCATCTCAGATACAAAAATGACAAGATATATGTAAGTCACTCTTAGTAAGCTGTGATTTAATATTTATTCTTATTTATCAGAAAAGTTGTCCTTTTTTTTAGGTTGATCATTTTAACCGGGCTTCAACTGTTAGAGTCTGGTTGAAATTTTTATGGAGTTCCCATTTATTGGAATTCTTTTCAGCAGTTTTTTGCATAAGTTACTAGTGTGGGAAATCAGCTGAGATTTCATAATCGATCATCAGAAATCATTTTTGGATTGACCCACCAGACTGATCATTGATTATAATAAATATTAGAAAAATCTCTTTTTCCTCTTCCTTTTATTTTTCACCTTTGTGAAAGTCAAAGTGCATGTGATGTAAACTTAGAGCATCCGATGTAGAATGTGGAGGGTTGTGAGCTTGATTCTCACCTAGAGTTCAGAATTTTTTCTGCGCTTTCTTCTTGAGCTGACAAGACCATCACAGAGGGGTACATTAGTCTGCCAGCTGAGCTATAATGCGGCCTATTATATAGTTTAAAAGTTTCAGGTCTGAAATAAGTATCCCTCTTCCCCCAAAAGTCAAGTTATCATCCCATTGCAGGAGGGAGCAGACACACAACATCCTCTTGGTTAAGCATCAGCCATATCATTTTGTCTTTTTTCGAGACATACATGCCACTCAGACAACACACAAGTTTTCAATAATGTTTATTTGCCAACAAAAGATTTTATTTTTTCTGCAATGATTAGTTTATCATTTTTCATAATTGATTATCATGTCTCATAATGATTTCTGATCAATGATCAATTATTATAATCGATGATAGGTGTACACTTAACCTCTTAATATTTGTTTCTAAGGATTTTGCCAATGAAATTTAGAAAGTTTTGTTAAATTTTGTCTTTGGCTACTTCTGGAAGTGAAAGAGTTTACAGATCATTATATGTTTCTGGGAAACTGCCCACCTACTCCTCCCCTAAGCCAGCATTTTGCCCTAAGCGAGAAGCAAGTGTTAATGTTGACTTAGGAGCGGGCTAGGTGGGCAGTTTCCCAGAAGCGTTTAATGATCGAGGTTAACAAGGTTTTCAAATGCAGAGTGTGGCCTCGTATAAATGGGGTGAATATAAAGTGGGAGTTATAATTTTTCGACTATAACGTGGAAGGAAGGCAAATTTCAACCAGTTTGTAATTTCAGCTGATTGTCTTTCTTTTCTTGCATTCAGACTTACATTGGGTCAATCCTGTGTGCAGTAAATCCATATTACGTAGTTGAAGGTCTTTATGATGTATCAGTCATGAATTCATACAGAGAGAAGCACATCGGTGAACTTCCACCCCATATCTTTGCCATTGCAAATGAGTGCTATTACTCAATGTGGAAGAAAGGAGAAAGTCAATGTGTACTTATAAGGTATGTCGTGTGCTGATAGCATATATGCCAACTCTCTCGGATTATCTGGAAGTCTCCCGGATACGACACCAATCTCCCAGTCTCCAGTACAGGTCATTTGGAATTTATCTCCCAAAATATTTTCGGAATAGTTTCTGTTTGGGGGATCCATATTCATATTTTCTCAGAATTGTGCCGGGCAAAAGCCTGATGGAGAGGGTCTCCAGTTGTTGATATTTTAGTAATTTTTGAGAGTCTCCAGATTTTAGTTTTTGAGAGGCTGACATCTCTGTGATAGCTTGTGAATAGACCATGACATGTAGGGTCCTATTTTTCCTTGTTGTGCACTCTGGGGCTCACTTTCAAATGTACCTGGGTGGTGGGTGTTATTAAAGCCAAGCATGTCCCTAGCTACATACTATGAACTGTTGTTTCAATTGGGCTTTTATGCCATGGCTGCATTGACTGTTTTATAGTGTATTTTTTCTGTCATTTTTTTAATAAAATAATTTTTGAAATTGGGAAATTTTTTTATTCTTTTATGAAATTTTGTGGGACAAAATTAGTTAATTATAAGGTGACCATAATGTTGGGGGGTTCTACCATTTAGTTTTTTTGTTTTTTTTTGTAGTGGAGAATCAGGTGCAGGGAAAACAGAGTCCACAAAATTTATTTTGAAGTATTTATCAGATGTAAGCCGAGGAACAGGTGAAACGGAAAACATGCCAAAAGTTGAGGATGCTATCATTCAGAGCAGGTACGAACTATTGGCATTATAATATTGTAAATTAGGGGTACAGCACTGGTGTCTTCCCTTTCTACGAAGTGTTAACAATGGGCTGCTTATAATTAATGGAGTTGGGTTCCTGGGATGTCCAAGGGTTTTCACTTATGGCAAAGCCATCTCCTAGATGGTAAGAGGTATGACCCCATGGCTGGTAAACCTGTGCCTTCCAGCCATGAGCCCTGATGCCAACAGACCCAAGCACTTGTCACACTGATTGATCAGTGGAAAAGTAAAAGGGAGGGTGTGGGTAAATACATGATCCAAAGGCTAAATGAAGCGAATGACTGCCAGGATTTATGGTGTGCTGCATGAGCACATGGAGTTGATGCAAGCATTGCTGGCTGCTTCAGCTACTAGATCTGACTGCTGACTGCCAACAAGAAATGGTGCTCCTTGTTGTTAACTGTGTTAAATTTTATTTAACTTCATAAAATACAGCCCAAAATGAGCTAAGAACTTTTGACAATTTGTGAGCTTCATTGAGAACAAACAATAAATTGAACTCACATTCTGGAAACAAAGCAACAAAGGAGCTTCACGTGGTAGTCCTTCACGTGATCACGTGGTAGTCCTAGAAGTATTGGGAAGGACAGTGAGGTGGGGGCTGGCCGGGAGAATAGGGGGCGGGAAGGGTACCTGAGATGGCAGAGGAAAGGTTGGGAGGTGGTCCGAGTTCTAAAAGGGTGGGTGGGAAATGGGAGAAATAGGGGGAATTGTGGAAGAATGCATTCATAGAGCCATTTTTTCCAAACATGATACCCTATTATCACCATTATTTTTCTTAGTTACATGTATAGTGGTTCATAGACACTTTGATTTGTTTAGCCCCATCATGGAAGCATTTGGTAATGCAAAAACTGTTTACAACAACAACTCAAGCAGATTTGGGAAGTTTATTCACCTCAAATTCAACTCCAAAGGACGAATGGATGGAGGTTCAATTCAGGACTGTATCCTCTTTTTAACAATGTTTATAATATTGGTAGTCAGTTCTTTGTTTGCATGATGAGGAGTTTGAAACACACAAAAGTCAAAATTTAGCCATTATGGCAAAGAACAAGTCCAACCACAATATACATTGAGGAATGCTCACACAGGACGACCAACATAGCTTTGCATAATATGCAGGTTACTCAATGTCACCCAAGGTATTGTATAAAAGGAAGGAGGCTCTATCGTTTGCACATCTGTGCAAAAGTTTGATTGTAGCACTTTTATCAGTTTGTTGCTTACTGTGATAAATGTTCTTTATGGCAAGTTCACTGTCCACTTGATCATAAAATATCAGACAAAAACCCGCACTTATGTTACTCAAAAATATATGTTACAACCTTGACTGGATAACCTGACTTGTGTCTTCAAACAAAACAGTTTTACTGGAGAAGGTAAACTGAAATTCTTGTACTGTATTTTATTGTGTAGTTATCTGAGGGTAATATTCACTTATGCTTACCTCACTACCACATGAATTTATTTGAAAAATTAATTATAAGTTATGGATGTAAACTTTAATGGGAATCATCGTACATAACAGTAATTTATTATTCATTGGGTGAAAACATGATGGTAATATCTACATGTAGCATGAAGTTTTGTGAAAGTGAACTATTTTTGCTCTTTCTGGAAGTTTAAATTAGTTTCAATCTGAATTTGAATGTAATTCCAATGTGTAGCCATTCCAAATGCTCAGGAATTGATCCCTCTCTGCTTATCAATGGTTATACGTAATATAGGACACTGTTTCATGGGATGTTTTTTATCCTGCTTTAATCTTTTGAATTGGGCTGGACTGAACTGGCAATTTCAATTTTCTTTTTCAGAATCGGGTTGTGAGACAAAATCCAGGGGAAAGAAACTATCACATTTTTTATTCTCTTTTGGCGGGCGCTTCTGAAGATCAAAGAAGTGAGTATCTTGACTTGGAGCAGTAAATTTTTCATTGCAAGTATTGTGGCAACATCAATACCAATATTCTAATTTGATTAGAAATGGTAGACAAGGAACCACTGTGTTTCTGTATGTGGTGGTCATGTTGGTATTCACTTAACAGCAGAAGATTGATTGAGGTCTAGTCAATTCTGTCCTTTCCTGGAGCAGGCATGCTGTTGGCTGAGGGGACTGATTTGAGACTGGCAGGTTCTTCTGCAGCAGCTATAGAGGAATGTCTGGTCCAAAGTGAATACAACCTATTCAAGGTTTTTCTGCCTTAGCCTCCTTTCCTCCAGAGTGGCTTGGCGGTTAGCATCAAAAAGCTGGTGGCATGGTGGATGGTTATGAGCCAAGCATTTCTGTAGACAGCCTTAGCAATCCAATGCTTGGCATCATAAATAAATGCTGCAGGCATTGGGTTTTTTAGCATATCTCTGTGGCACTTCTTTGGTGCACTAATGAGAATGTGCTATCTCAACATCCTCATAATTTATTGTTTTACTGGCTTGTACCCAGTACTCATTATGTCAACGTCTGTCTAAGTTCCCAAGTCCATTTATATTGTTCCTGTAACGCACATGTTAATGCACAACCTTTGTAGCAAAGGTACCAGGTTTGATTCCAGCAATTGCCCATTTCTTCTTGACAGATTTAAATAGATAAATATATTTTTTCTTCTAAGACCGATAATTAAATGTTATAAAAGTACATTAATTATTTCTTCTGTTTTGTGTATAGATCTATTCCTCCTGAATGCACCAGAAAAATATCACTACCTTAAGCAGAGCGGTTGCTATGGAGATCCATCAATCAATGACAAGGAGGATTTCAACAATGTTTTGGTATGTTGAACAATTCAGCATTATTGCAATACATTTTAACAGTACATACTTCAATCAATTTTTTAACTTTTTGAAAAAATTGTCTGCAGTACAAGTGCATTAGGGAGCAAGATGGTTCCTAAACTGATTTTAATTTTTTTTCTCAGAATGCCATGAAAGTTATGTGCCTCACCGATGAAGAGATTTCCGATGTCCTGCAGGTTATTTCTGGAGTCCTTCAGCTTGGAAACGTTCATTTTATGGCTGCAGGGGGTGCTCAGATTGCTGAGAAAAGTGGTATGTTAATGTTGCAGTTAATTGTTTATTGCAGTTAATTTTTGTTTTTCCTTTATTTTAAATTTATTAACATACATTACCATACCTAAAAAACGATGGGAAAATAAATATTAACTGAAATAATAAATTAACTGTGACATTAACGTCATTTCTCTTCACTAAAATGTTGTGTTGATTTTTTGCCAACACTGGTCCCAACCACGCATGATAGACCTTCAAATAAAGGGGGTGGGGGAGGGGCAGTCCAAGGGCTGGTCAGGGTAAAATTCCAACAAGCTAAATGGCCTTGAAACAGGGACATAAGACAGCAGAAATGGCGACAAACGACACAATAAGATAGGTTGAAACTCCAACAGCGACAGAAAAAAACGCAAGTACAATAGTAAAATACGAACAAAGACATGGTTACCTCCTCAGTATTCATGAAAGTACAGGCTTTGAAATTCAGACTAGGGACATACATAGCTCCACCAAGAGGGCCTCACAGCCCTTCATTTGTTCAATTAAGGCTGCAAAATATGTTCTTTCCAGTTGATGACCATTTTTTTTTTGCTGTCTGTCTAATGCATCTCCTTTTTCAACAGTCTTGGAGAATGTTGCAAACCTTTTACGTGTGGATATTTATGAGCTGAGTGATGCTTTAACACAGAAGTCAATGATTCTACGAGGAGAAGAAATACTGTCACCTTTGTCTGTAGAACAGGTGTGAAATTATAAACAATATATTGGAGGTTTTTGTGATATCCAGAATAAACAAGGTCAAGGTAATAAGTGTTAAAGGACAAGGCTGATAACACTTACCAAGAACTTGATTATTCCAGATATCACAAAAACGAATCTAACAATAATTTCTGTTTATTGTACATTGTACTGAAGAAAATAGCAACAGAACAGAGTTGCTCAGAACACTGACATTGCTCTTGGAAATCATGCGTTGAGCACATAAGCTATAGATACTTGACATTTATCTACTAGCAGATAACTGCCTAATCTGTTGGTTGTACTGATTTTCAAAATTAACTGTAGGCTCTTAGCCAATGAGGAGACAGATAGTGAGCACAATGCATGATAATGTGAGAGATTTTATGTAGAATTTCCTTTACTGTTACTCGTATTTGCCTTGTTTATGTACTTATGAAATAATTGTCCATTAAATTTTTAACTTGCTGAAAAAAACTTCTCTTCTAGGCATTGGACTCTAGAGATTCCATGGCCATGAATCTTTATGCTTGTACATTCAAATGGCTTATCAACAAAATTAACCAAAGAATCAAAGGAAATGACAGCTTCTCATCCATTGGAGTTCTTGACATTTTTGGATTTGAAAACTTTGATGTAAGTCATGAAACAGCTCCATGTGCGTAGCGGGGGTTAAAAGAGCCAAATGTCTTAAACGGAGATCATCTGAGAAGAGCATTTTCTGTTCATTTTGAGGGCTATGGATCACAGCAGATGGTGTCTTATGATCCCATTTGGACATATTTTGGGGTAAAAATAAAAAAAATAAGAGTATGCTTATACATGGGGTCTATAATTTTCAAATTACATATTTATTTTGATTACTATCAGGGGTATAGCGATAACATTCTTTGAAGATTTTTCTTTCTAAAAGGCCCCAGAAGTAAACAAAGTTACCGACTTATGTCGCATTCTTTTGTTAACAGGTTAACAGATTTGAGCAGTTTAATATTAACTATGCCAATGAGAAACTTCAGCAGTATTTCAACAAACACATCTTTTCACTGGAGCAGCTTGAATACAACAGGTGCATGTAATAGTATGCATAACTTTTTTTTATCACGGTAACCGGTCAAGTCGTTTCGATAGAAATGAGTTATGTAATATATCTCCTTACTTAAGATTTGATGAGACAAAACAAGCGCGATAACGATGTCGGGATGTTGTTGAGCAGGATAAATTTTCGGGCGACTTGGTAGAAACATTTTGGGCGACGCAACTCCGGTTTCGGGCGGCATAATCTTGGGCGAGATGACTTTCGGGCGACTTGACCGTAAACCCTTATCACAATTGGCCCTAACGGAAACTAATGGAAATTGCTTCTAGCTTGTTACTGTGGTTCAATTTGGTAAGAAATACACTGTACTTCTAACCACTTTGTATCAGCCACAAATAGCTGTCAGACACCTCACATAAGCACTGATTCGAACCCAGGCTGTAGAAAAGTCCAACAGATGAAGTAAACACTGCATGCAGTGTTTTAAAATAGACAATAGACGGATCGAAACGCACCAATGATATTACGAGTTTTCATAGCCAATAACATCACGGCTTAACTGATAGACGACCAATAACATCGCGACGTAATTGACCAATCAGGTCAATAACCAGAGTACAATACCATCAACTGACGTGATACAACTCACTTTGACTCTGAAGATGACTACCGCACAGGTTTTCGAAACGTCAGTCACTGTCAACAACATCGGTCCTATTCAGGACTTCGTTCACTCGGACGATCAAACTCAAGCTACTTATGAAATGACTCCTGTGTTCAAACCTTTCACAGTATCATTTTAGTTAAAAATGAAATAAATAATTCAATTAGGTGTTTTGTCACAAAACTACCAAACGTATTTCTTTTTAAAGCTGCACTCACTTTTTGTTAGCTGTTCTCGAACTGTCTACCTTCTGTGATTGAATGAAGTGTTGGACCGTTTGATATAGTTTTCTGTATCGCATTTGGAGTCCAAAATAACTTTCAATCATCATTTCTAACGTTACTGGGATTGCGCACATATAATGGGTACGCTTACACAAGCCCTTTCCCCAAAGATCCCCTCGGGGAAACACCTTGGGTTGACCAAGACCTTTCATGTTTACGGTTACACACCGATAAGTTGCCCTAGGGGAAGAAAAAACTTGAGCCCGGTTTCGTGGTAAACGTATTCGTCAATGATGTGAGGTATATGAAATAATTCATATTTAATTTGCGGTTGTGGATGAAAGTGAAGAATGATCATCGCAGTAAATTTTCCAATTTAAGCAATTGGAAAGAAGAAGCCTGAAAAAAAAAATCAGGGCTTCAACGGGATTCGAACCCGTGACCTCCTCTTTGCCGGTGCGTGTTCGTCAATATTGGCATTGTCGGAAGGCTGACATTAATCGCGAACGTTTTCTACTATTAAAACCTCTACATCAATTAAACTTAGCAGGAGTGACTCAGCCCTCATGATTCAGAATCTAATGTGGCCTCTGTTTTAAAGACCTTGTGAAGTTTCTTGATGATCTAATATTTTGGCCCCGGGAAGTTCCGTAGAAAAATTAGACTGTGAATTTTGTACTTCTTTACCTGTTAGTAACGGAAGAAAAAAAAGGAAGCAGTACAGCGTAGGTCATTTTGCTTGGAGAGATGAAATACAATCTCTGACTCTTTGTTACTGAAAATGAGAAATCATTTCTTTTACTGACTTTGAAATCGTCATTTATTTAAAAGTGACTATGATTTGGAATAAAGGAATGATTCTGGAATAGAGGCGCTCCCTTGACAGAAGACACTTACACATTTTTAAACCTGGTTTTCATACGTTGGGGAAAAATTTTATAAGATCGGGGATTTCACTTTTTCCCGGTGGTCCTAGATTTTCCCGAGATGTCAGTATAAGTGGCCTAGAGGATTGGCACCCAGCAAAAACGATCGCACATCGATCCGTGACATCCCCAAGGTACAAATTTTAGTCTGCATATGTCTGGAATAACCGAAGGGAAAATAGAAATCTTCCCGATTCTTCCGATTTATCGCCCGACCCTCTCAGATGATCTAAGATATTTGCGATTTCGAGTTTTCATTAATCAGCAAATTCTTTGACGGTCAGGAAACACTAAAATCCCCGATCGTCTGGATTTTTCCGACTTATGAAAACCCGGCTTATGACTGTTTCTTTTTCTCTGTTTGTTTGTGTTTCGCTGTCTTCAGAGAGGGTTTGGAGTGGACGGATATTGATTGGATGGACAACGGAGAATGCTTGGATCTCATTGAAAAGGTAGCGCATAGTGTGTAGCAACGTTTTTTTTTTCTGTTCGACTGCAAGATTTTGATCTCAGTTTTGCAAACCTCCTCTAGAAATTAGGGGTACTGGCATTGATTGACGAAGAAAGCAATTTTCCTAAAGGAACAGATGAATCCATGCTGAACAAGCTGCATTCAAGTCACGAGGTTTGTTATGATTCATTCTTATACTGCCTGTGTTATACATGCCCGAAGTGGCTGCTTTGCATGTCTCATTTCGTGTAATATTTTGAGTCGTAGAGTCCCTATTTCCACGCAACAGAGTTTCCCCAGTGGATTTTTCGAAATCCTTGATTTGACTTCAAGAGTTCCGTAATTCTGAGCTGTTAAATGTTCCACTTAGTCACACAGCCAGGATTTCGCGATGTTTTCTCGTGGAACGAATTAAGATTGCAAGTTAAAACTTAGTAATTCCGTTGCAAACTTCAAAAAGATCATTTAGTTACGTCATTTGAAATGATCGCTTAGCTTTTACCAAGTAGGGACATGGCATTTGGCGATTTTATAATGCGGGATTTGAGAAAGGTTGTCTCAATGGAATGAAGGTCGAACCATATTGGGATGCTCAAAAATTTTCTTTGTTATGCTGGTTGTTCATTGCAAATGAGTATTGTACTGATTCCGGTTTACTATTTTGCGGCACGGAATTATCCCACGGGCGAAAAAACAGTGTCTGCAAATGTTACACAAATTTGCCCAAAAGAGGTTTTTTTGGTACCTACTATACTACTTTCTAGTAGTGTTGAACAAAAACTGGCTTTCCATAAAGTTGTACAATATTTGATACGGTCAACATGTCTTCAGGGACCTAGACGTGTTTAAAAAGGTTAACGTTTATCTTTTTTGACAGGGTAACACATTTTACATCAAACCACGTGTTGCAAACACAAAATTTGGAATCAAGCATTATGCTGGCGAGGTAAGGGAATCTTTTGCGATCTTTGCTGTCTTGTTTGCACGTAGGATTTGTCCTTTCAAACTCTGGTCGCTTATTTTTTGATAACTTGTTTTATAATTCTCTAGGTCTTTTACAGCACCAAGGGTTTTCTGGAAAAGAACAGGTAATGTTTTCGTTTGCAATCTTCATGAAAAAATGATGATGACTATAATGTGGTGATTGAAAGCAAAGTTGTTAATGGTCGTAATAGAGGGGACGGTTATGCTGACTTTGGGAGAAATGTTGGTAATGGTCGTGGTAGAGGTAACGATGATGGTGACAATGATGGAGCAGTGTTGGTAATAGTCGGTTTGGCGATGATGATCATGGCGATAGTCTTCGCAGCAGTGTTGGTAATAGTCGTGATGGAGATGACACTGAATGTGACAATGACGGGAGTAGTGTTGGTAATGTAATGGTTGTTATGGAGATGACCTTGATGGTAACATTGATGGTAGCAGTGTTGGTCACGGTCGTGGTAAAGATGACGATCATGGCGACTGTGATGTCATCAGTGTTGGTAATGGCCGTGATGGAGATGACACTGAAGGTTGCAATGACGGGAGCAGTGTTGGTAATGGTTGCTGTGGATATGACGCTGATGGTGACAGTGATGGTAGCAATGCTGGGAATAGTGGTGATAATAATGAGGCTCATGGTGACAGTGATGGTTGTCAGGTGGTGATTGTGATGATAGTGGTTAAGAATTTTTTTTGATCGCTAAGATGGTGATGAATGATGCTGACTTTGAAGATGATGAAAACTGTAACAGTGATATTTAAAGTGATGGTGATGTCATAACACATCACCAAAAGACATTATGGAAATGAAATACTAAATTATAGAAACGGACGATTCTTATGGCACCAGTAACGTTTTGCTGGTATAAACGTTCCCCAAATTAATCCCTTTTACTGTTTTTTTCATTTAGAGATTCCTTCCGTGATGAGATTCTCAATGTACTGATGGAAAGCAGGTAAGCGTTTTTGTTAAAAGTGATTTGTCTCAAATTTAACATTCTTATTGGAATGTCACCAGTCACTGGGATAATAGGAATACAAGGAATACTATTTCCTCAAACACGGATACAATCAATCTTCTGTTATTATCTTTAGGTCAGATTTCATTTATGACATAGTTGAACATATGAAACCGTCAGCGCCAGCTGCAGGAACAAAAAAATCCTCGAGAAAACGACCTACTGTTAGCTCACAGTTCAAGGTGAGTCTGCATTTTTTTATTTTCTTCTGCTACTTGCGAGTTCTTCATGATCTACTTGCTATTGTAGACTTTGTCCCTTTTCATCATTGTCCATCCTGACTCCGCGTTGGTTTGCTCATACCAGTGACGTGGATCCTAGAGAAAGAATTGTTTTATTGTCAGCAAAACAGTGGAGCATTTTGGTGCTATACAGCGCTGGCCCAAATCAAGGAATGGTAGAGAAACCGCCTTAATAAATAAGTCCTGGAACACTTTTTGAAGCTACTGTTTCAGTATCTGTTAAAAGGAACACTATTCTTTGAATTTGCTAGCTGCCTTACCCTTGTCAAAACCTCCATGATAGACATACACATAATTGCAATAACTTTGTCATAGAAAAAACTTAAAGGAACAACGAAAAATGTAGAAAGGCAAATAGGAATTAATTTCGCTTACAAGTTAACCACTCTAGGTTGAATTCATTTGCAACATACGCATATAGCCGTCACATTTGCAATTGCCAAATTCCGCTCGTGCTGCAGTTGAACGTTTATTAGTAAGTCTAATCAATTCCTATTTGGCTTTTTTCCCTCTTTTCCTCTTTCTTTTTAGCATTTTTTCTAAGACAATTGTAAGAAAAAGGATGGCGACTGGTTCATTTACCCACAGTTCTTAGCGCATGAAAGCCATAAAATTGCTCATAAAAACGTACAGAAAAGCTTTATAAACTTCAAACCTAGGATAGGCAATGTTGCTATTACAGGGACGAATTTTGCCCCCCCAAATATTTTGTGTAATTGGCCGTGTTTTTTTCGAAAGACTAAAATGTACATTCCAGATTCGCCACTTTAGAAAAAGAAGGGAGTTGGGTCGAGTTCACTTACGCAAAGACTTCTGGGACTGTTGCTAGGGACACGGCGCGTCCCTAGTAACGATCCCGGAAACAATTGCGCTACACATTTTGGTTCCACCGCCCTTCTCTTGTCTAAAGTGGCGAATTAGGTGTAAACGTTTTTCATGTATGTACGAATTATGTCATAGTGTACAATGTGTTGTGGCCAATTCTTGTTCTCTTCTCTGTTTCTTTCCTTTCAGACATCCCTGGCATCTCTAATGACAACACTGGGACAGTCTCATCCCTATTTTGTTCGCTGTGTTAAACCTAACGAGAAAAAGGTATGTCCAGCAGTCAGTGCGTTTTTTAGTTTAGCTCCTTGACTAAAAGTATGAATGAGCGTGCCGCGCTGGGTACGAAAATGACCGTTATGACTGTTGTTACTCTGAGAGAAAATGTTTTTTTAGTTACGAGAGTAAGGAAGTGAAATTTTGTGCCGTGTTTCGTATTGATTTAGATAGTATCAGTGCTTTACATTTCTCTGTAGTTGACACGTTCAAAGGAAAAAAGAGCGTTTACGGTATATCAATTTTTCTTCCAGCTTCCTCAGTCCTTCAACCCGAAGGTAGTCCTCAGCCAGCTCAGATATTCAGGAATGTTGGAAACGGTCAGGATTCGTCGTGCAGGTTTTCCTGTCAGACGACCACAACACAAAAAAAAAACTTCTTGTTTCAGGTCAAAACAACTTTTTTTTCCGGCGTGTTTTTTCATTTCTTTGACGTCCACTGCACGATTACGACGTTAATAATGGAGGACGTGGACAATTTTTCCCTTTATCTTTTTGAGCCTGAATAAAATCGCACTTAGCATTTGTCCCAAAAGTCATTAAGTTTGAAAAAATGCAAATTTCTTTTTTACCGACGTTTTCACTGCCGCCGCCGTCGTCGTCGTCCTTGCTCAAGGTCCCTAATAATAGGAAATTACGGCCCGCTCTAGACATCGCATGTCCCTAAGTCAATAAGCTATTAAAATGGATTTCTATTTGATTAGTTTCTGCACAAGTACAATTTAGGCATAGATCTGTCGTTAAAAGAAAGATTTAAAAAAAGATGCATCAATAATTGGGTTTAGTGAACGTATTTGAGAACGTTTCTGTAACCTTGTTCATCCTGCAGGTACAAGGTGCTGTTCCGTGGCAAAACACTTTCGGGAGACAACAGCGATTGTACACTGATACTCCAAGAATTCGATTCTGAGAAAAAGTCCTTTAAACTTGGAAAAACAAAGGTATTTTTTCTGGAACCTGCGTAGCAGTGGTTTTTTTTATGTGCTTTTCGTTTGTGGGTCGGTGAAGTTAAAGATATGGCCGCCAACCGAGGTCAAACGACAAAACGAGAGGGGAGGGTGCAAAGGGCCTTCTTCCTCACTCCTCTCTCCCTCGTTTTCTCGTTTGACCTCGGCGCAGCTTTTGTGCGGCTCTAACTCTTACCATACGAACCACAAACGAAAAACATACTCATAAAAAACCAAGTGCTACGCAGGCTATTAGCGCTGTCGTTGTCGTTTTCACTAATTTGCACACATTTATCACAGTTGTAGGTATTTATTCCGCCAGTACTTTCAGTTGCAAGCTAGTTAACGACGATTTTAGCGCAACATAGCGTTGCAGCATTGTTTCGAATAGTTACAACAATGTTCCAACATTGCGGCGCTGTGTTGTGCTAAAAAACGTCGTTGGGAATCGTCCCGTGGAACATCACCTTCAGAAGTGAAGCTAAGCTACTCTGGGTACCAGAAGTCTTTTCTCGCGTGCGGCGATTGAGTGCGATGAAGATGCTTCTGGGTTGGCCCCAAGCCGAAGAGGCCGCGAGAAAAAGCTTTTCGGGCGGATCACAAAAAAGACGTGTACCGAAACCGAAAACCCGCGCATGAAAAGTCTCTGGCACTCAGGGTAAAGCTAATCAGGCGTAGAAAAAAAAGAGGGAAACTTGCCTAAATTTGCCCTTTTTGTTACGAATATGCAGTCTTCTAAGAGATTTTGCTTTCAAGTAAATTTCAAAATAATCACAATGGTTCACTTTTCATTTCTCCCCTTTACAACAGGTTTTTATGAAAGACAAATTAGAATACGTTGTTGAACGCAAAAGGAACGCTGAGCTCGAAGCTGTTGCAATGCTGATCAAGAAGAGGATCATGGGATACCTACAACGGAAAAAGTATTTGAAGATTCGCAATGACATTATTACAATTCAAAAGAACTACAAGGTACTTACACACATGCTGTTATTTTTTAGCGTATTTTTTATTTTTTTTTCCCTTACTCTGTGCTTTGACTATCAGGGACTTATTTATTTATAGTCTCCATCAATCAGTGTATAATTTCTTTTTAGGCACATTACTATTACAGACAATACCTGAAGAAACGCTCGGCAGCGATTATTATTCAGAAGGTTAGTCATTGTTGTGCTGAGTACGTATACAACTATTTCGAGAAAGGTTGTCGGAGAAAAATGTGCACGCGACAATCCCGAAAGGTAATATGGGATATGATCAATACACTGTTCCTGACACTGTAGCTGTCGAACTTAGTTTTGTTGCTTTCCTTTAGCACTTTCAAACATAAGTCCATGGCCTCTCCCGCCATTTTTTCAAATTTCTTTGAAGAACAGTGAACTCAAAACCACCCACAATACCTTTGGGGATTGTCGCGTGCACTTTTTCCGACAACCATTCTCGAAAGAGCTGTATCTAAGAACAAAAAACTTGGAGGGCCGGTTATTTAAACGGAGTTTAATCGGTGTTTAACAAAACCGCGTTCTACTTAATTTTCAGTTTGCCCAACGCTTTTATCTAAGCACCATTTGTCGCGAAGAGTTTCGTGAAAGCATATAGTGTAGACTAGAAAAGCATTTATCTCCACTAAAGAAGAGATCTGGAGATCCAAAGATTTCTTAAACCGCGGTCTTAGTTAGACCTCGTTTAAATAAGCGACCCGTAGAGTTTCGACTTTCAAGGATTACCCAAATAATCGTAAGCATGGTACCGCGAAAGCGCGTGCCACTTTCTATCTAGCTTCTTTCTATTTCTTCTGAACAGTATGTTTGTCTATGCCCTGCTGCGATCTTCCACCTTAAATATCTTAAACGTTCTTTAGTTCGAGAGGGGTAGAACTGCAAGAGCACTTCTCAAACGACTGCTGGAAGAGAAACGAATTGAAGAGGAACGAATACGAAGGGAACGCGAGGAAGAAGAAAGGAGAAAAGAGGAAGAAAGAAGAAGGTACAGGAATACTACCACGAAATGATTTAGAAGCGGCGTAAATGTTAACAATCAGAGAATAGCCAGGAAGGGGTAAAAATTAGCAGGTTGATTGAATAAGACACAAAGGCTTTATTGCTCTAAATCTGCTCTACTGCACTTTAGGATGTAATCCAGGTTTAAGCAGTAAGGCATATTTTGCATTTCTGCCTTGTTGCTTTTTCTGTTACTTTTGAATCTGGTCTCATGTCAAAGCATTTGGAGCCAAGATGTTTTTATACGGTTTTGAAAAATTTATGACTTCTTTTTTGAGGCATGCAATGTGGTTCCGTGCTTTAGCTAGTATGCCTTTGACACACATCATACCGTGGCGTGTTAGCAATATGTACAACACTTGCAATAGGGTGATACAGTTTATTTTGGTGTTGTGTTTTATATCGTGGTTTATCATTTATCCATTGCGTAAAGCGAAGCCGCACTGTCCATATTCATGAAGAACCCGAACTATTTACCAGTGATTTCATTACGATCCCATTTCTCTTTCATTTGCATTTAGATCTAGCATATATAACTTCGTTTGGTTCTTGTGTCCCAATTTAAGATATTTTCCTAAGGGTCGTCAGTTACTAGTCGGACTAATGTGTCGTCTTGTTACAGAGAAATGGAGAGACTGGAGCAGGAAAGAAAGATGAAGGAGCTCGAGGAATTGCGCCGTAAGGTATGGACCTGAAGTCAAATTGTCCGAAAACCTTCATGACAAACCAGAAGGTTTCTATTGCTAACCCGGATAAGGAGGAACTTGGAAGGCTTGCTTTATCTTTTGTTATAAAGTTTGTTGCTTCTAAAACAAGTTTTGCACAGGTGTCGAAGGGAGCGGATCTTACTTTCTTTCATGTAAATACACATTTTTTATCTGTCGCATTGTATGTTATTAGTTTTAATACTAGTTCTTTTATATTACATGTTACTGTGTCACACTGTGGGTCTTAAGTCTGATGCTAAAAGTTCTTGATAACAGGCTGAGGAAGAAGCTCGTATAAAGAGAGAAGAAGAAGAGGAAAGACTAAGAAAAGAAGAAGAACAGAGACAAGCGGTGCTGGCGAAGGCTCGAGCACTTGAAGAAGCCAGACGACTAGAGGAAGCCAAGAAAAAAGCAGAAGAAGAGGCTCGCAGAAAGGTAAAAACCTGTCCATCCATATAGATTGCCATTTAGTTTAAGAGTTATGGTTTCTATTCGAAGCAATATTTAGTTTGTGGTCTTTTTTGCTCGTCGAGACCTCGCGTTGAGAGTGTTGTTCAAGTTTACTTTTACTCCAGATGTGACTAGACTTACCCAACTCAAGACTTGCCTTGACGTTCACAGTTCACAGTGTCGCATCAGACTTTGTTTTCTGTCAGTCCAGACGTGCGTTGCACATATTGTTCAGTTTGAGGTTTTGGTGTGTGCCGTGCCTGAACAACAAAACCTTAGTTTCTTTTACCTATTCTTTCTCCTAAATGTGCAGTCGCTCAACATTTAGACGTTAATATAAGGTGTTGTTTGTTTAAAGGAGGAAGAAGAGAGGAAACGCCGCGAGGAGGAGGAAGCAAGGTAAAACTTCAGTGCCGGATTGAGTACTGTATAAGCACATTCGTTCTCGTGATAACTGTCGTCAGGTTCGGGAACTTTGTCATTGAATAACGCCTTTGAGATGATTCAGAAAACCTTTTCAGAAACCGTTATTCAGGTTAAATTAAGTTTGAAGGGCATGCATAACCTTAAGTCTTAAAATAGTGTAGGGTGATCATTTGTTGTAATCTTCCACCTCGCTGTCAATAAGGGTGGTGTCGGTAAATAACATTCAACTCGATGGCGAGATCTTGAGGACACAGAAAAAAAAAACGAAAACGACGTCCTGGCGACGAAGTCAAATTTTTATAGATAAAAAGGAACCCTGTGAAAAGTTGTATTTTTAGCAGAACTGCAACGAAGTCTTGAAGGAAGAAATATGTTATACTTCAATTACGTTTCGGTTGCTGGAGATCGCATACCATTAAATAATATTCAATGTTGTTAAACAAACAGAAAGAAGGCAGAAGAAGAAGAAAGACTACGGAAGGAGGCTGAAGCTGAAGCAGCTGCACAAATTGCTGAATTGGACAGACAGCTTAAGGTACAGCAGATATGACAGCCTGTTTAGTGATAAGGCAAGGATAAAGTCCCCCATTTTTCTGCAATATCCTACTCATGTGAAGGCCGATTTACACGGTACGAGTTTTGCTTACGACTATCGTGCGTGACTAGCATACGTCATGACTTTCGACCATCCACACGCGCACAATTTTTTCATACGACATCCACATGTGTCGTACGGTTGTCGTGGGTCTTATTTACACGACACGATCTGTCGCGAAGTCATGACGTATACTAGTCGGGCTCGATAGTCATAAGCAAAAATCGTGCCGTCTAAATTGGATATCTTTCTTTTCTTAATTTAACACAACAGTGCGGTGTAGTGATAGCTTACTACAGTTGCCGTTTGATTAAAATGTTTTGAGCTTGTGTAGTTGACTTACATGAACTTATCGTTTTTAGCTGGAAGATAGCGACGAAGAAGAGGAAGACACCGAAGAGGCCTGGGACAGACCGCCCAGTCTCTACGATACTCAAGATCTACCGCTCAGGGAGGGGTACCTCATGATGAGAGGTCAGTGTTATGAGGATAAATATTCGCTGTCATTTTGCTATTTTGTTCCCTTTCTTCTTCGTAGGGTTGAAGTTTGTTGAGTTGTTGTGTTTATTATTATAATTATTTTTTTGCGCATTTTAGGTGGGTTATTAAGTTTATGGAAAAAACATTGGTGTGTTTTACGAGATGACACATTCATGTGGTTCAGAGGAAAACAGGTGTGTTTTGGACTTGTTTTGGTAAAATAACACTAAAAATAGATCATTTATCATGCTGCAGATCTTAAAAACCCAGCCGAGAAAGTCTTTATTTCTCGAAATTGCTCTTCTACTCCTTTGTTACTAGTTTTAAGAGATGTACATTTTTGCAAACCGAAAATGCCGTTATTAGTATACACAGCTTTTAATAGAGGGTTTTGAAGTTAACTTGATCTAAGACACCTTTTTAAATAACACAGGACGCTCTTAAATGTGGCTGGTTGATGAAGAAAGGCGGAGGAACAACAACTCTTTCAAGGTAGGATCAAATATGCAGTCTTTGTCAGTAATTACAGACGCGATATGGGGGTAAAGAGAAAGAACTAGGTTTGAAGTATTATTGCGAACAAGGTTGGTCCACAGCCAATGTTGGCTGGGGCATTATAGTGGAGTCTCTGCACCTGTCCAATACCAACATTTCTTTTGGTCCCGAGATACTACACTTCGTGCAATTCTTTCCTTTGTAACGACGACACCTGTCACGGTCACCTGACACCTGTCACGGTCGCTTTGGTGCCAAGTTAACCGTTAAAGTCCCAAGCGTGACCACAGTCAATGGCCTCCTAAAAATATAAAATACATCATGATGGGTAAAAGGCTAAGAGAATTAAAGGGAACCTCCACTTCAACAAAAAGATAACTTTAAATCACGGGAAATAACTGTTACAGTCAAGTCAATCTAAAATATTTTTAAAGAAAGCGTTTGTATCCGAAAGAAATAACTTTTAGATTCGCCTATTTTTGTTTTCAAATTTTGCGGGCGTCGCCATCTTGAATAATTGTGAAGTGTTACGGTTACCCTATTGTTATTAAACAAAAGCTCTTTGTGTCAGAACAATAGAGCAACCGTAACACGTCACAATTATTCAAGATGGCGGCGCCCGCGAAATTTGAAAGTGGAAATAAGCGATTTTAAAATTCACTTTTCCAGATATAAACACTTTTTTTAAGGACAAATTTCGAACAAATTTGTTTATCAACATCATTTTATTCGATTTAAACTTATTCTGTAGTAAGAGTGGAGGTTCCCTTTAAGGGCCTCTTTACATGGAGGTAGGGGCCCCAGGAAGGTGATGTAACCCGCCTGTCCATACAATCTCTCATTTCAATTTGTTCGCGTTTACGTGATAGGTGGGGTGACCATATGAGAGATTATATGGACAGGCGGATTACCTCACCTAAACGGGTTACCTCACCTACCTGGGGTCCCCCACCTCCTTGGAAACAGGCCCTAATATAGAATTCTATCCACTAGTTCTTTAGAGAACTGTGCCGCGGTCTGTTTGTAGTTTTTCAGGCGGGGTTTGACACAAATTAATTGGACGATCGGTTGTTCATAACAGCACTTTCTTCTTGAATTGCTTCCTTATCTATATGGTTATTGTCATCTTTATCTCCATCTTGCTATGAACATTTTTTCTTTCAGACGAAATTGGAAACGCCGATGGTTTGTTCTGAAAGACAACGTTTTGACTTACCACGAGACAGACATGGATGGAGCCAAATCACTTGGAACCATTGATATCAGAAATGCAGTGTAAGTAAAGAGAGAACATAAAATCTACAGTCTCGCTCTACTGATTTGCGTTCTCCTGAGAACATTTTTTCCTGATTTCCACCGTCGGTATTGTTTTACATTATCTTTGGCTAAATATTTCATAATAAACGCACTTCTTGGAAAACAAATATATTGACATAACATTCCTCTGCTAAGCGTATGCTTCGAATTTTATTAGGTGTTACCAAAATTTTTTATTTATGTTCTAATGTCTCAGGGTGAGACACACATTGATGAAACGATGCTTCTGGAGCCTACATAAGTGACATAATTTAGCATTTTGGAATATTTTTCAGCCTTGGTTAGCAGATTTTTCTACCGCCATTTTGATTGTAAGATTGCTTTGCTTTACAGTCTTTCTATACCCAGCTGCGTAAATGTGTGTTGGTGACATAATACGGGAGGTAACCCTGCTTAGTTCTAACAACCTGGCAGAGGAGAAGGTGTCAGATTATAGCTGTTATTGAAGTTGAGAATGTTGTCAAACCGACATTTTTCTTGTTTAAAAGACATGCAGACTGATAACTGTTGTAACCTGTATGTACCTTTTTATAGACGCATTGTCGACGATGGCGTTAAAGAAAACGGATTCAGTATTATCACAGAGAACAGGACCTACCACATAATTGCAGAAAACACAAACGACTGGAAGTGAGTAGCGCTGCTGTTGAACCTCTCCACAACGGTCACCTTTGGTACAGAAAGAAGTGGCCGCTGTAAGGGTGTGGCCGTTGTAGAGAGGTGTAAATGAGAGTCAATGTATGGACTGTCCGCCAAAAAACGTGGCCGTTGTAGAGAGGTGGCCGTTAGGGGAGGTTCGGCTGTACTTAAGTTTGAAAATTACCGGTACACATTCCCATCGGCTTTGTAAGGTTATCAGAAATTGGTTTTTTTTTTTTTTTTTTCGGGGTTCGTTGTTTCTGACGAGCGCTGTAAGAAGTTACAATTTTTCGTAGGACTTAATTGGAGAGGGATCTTCATGAATTGAAAAATGTCTCATTGCAAAAGTTGAACCCCGATGAAACGAAGTGCAAGAGGGGTGGAAAATCGTTTGCTGTAACAGGAGTCATTGTTTTAAATTCTGAAAGCAATGAGCGACACTTGAAAACTACAGTTGCAAAAGTTTTATTAAATTGACCCCTAGTATTTCATATATCGGGATCGTGTTCCATACATTTACTTCAATTGGAAAGCGATGGAGGAGGGGGCGGGGGGTTTAAAAGGGTGTAGCGATCATATCGTAGTTCCTATACCCCAGGCATACCCCAGGCACTTCACTCTGCTTCGCCCGAAGAACAGGGAATTTTGCAATTTGGTTAACAAATTGAAGGGCGAGAAATTTGAACCTGTTGTTGTGGTAGAAGTGTAAGGTCGCACCATATATGTTGATGAAACAAGGAAAGAGCGAAACAATTATTTGTTTTTGTGTAAGCCTCAAATTTATCATCTAGCTTCAATTTCTTGTTTTATTTTTAGAGTTCTGTTGGTACTCACTACTGTTTGCGACTAGGACAATCATTTTTGTCTTGATAAGCCTAAGATAACTTGTTTCTTACGGTGCATTTTTGTGCAATTTACCTTTTCTTCAGCCAATGGTTCAACATTCTGAATCGAGTGCACAGAGCAAATGACGAAGAACTGAAGGGAATGCGCGAGGAATCTGCGAACGTCAAACATGCAGCGGTAAGATCTTAGTGTTTTACAAGCGCAATCTGGCTAAGTTTGTGGATCATTGAACACGCATTAGTAAGTCTCTTTTTAACTTCTCCTTTTTCTGTGCTTAGGGAACCATCGATGTGGCCATGATCGAGTCCTGCACTCCTGGAGGAGTAGCGAACAAGTAAGACATTAGCCTGCGTAGCAAGCGTTTCCAATCGTGTTTTTTTTGCTCTTGTCCCAGCTTTCTAGACGAACCTCGCGAGGAAACGCTTGCTACGCAGGCTAGCAAGACATTGGTCATTATCCAGAAAGCTTGTTTCACGATAAAAAGGCTTTAGGCGACAAATTTCGCGAGTTATATCATAGTCGAGGCCCAAAGGAGAAAATGCTGTATGCTTTAAGACGTTCGTTTTTCGGACAAATTATGTTTACATGTATTCTGAATCTAACTTTCTTCTTACAGTGTAAGCAGATTTACCTTGATACGAGTGTCAAATTTTTTTTCTAATTATTCTCCTCGCTGCCTGTATCGTACAAACGTTCGCCTAAATTGCCGATCCCTTTCTTTACAGACCCAACTCCTTCACGCTCATCACAGCAAATCGTGTTATGAACTTCATAGCAGACTCTCCTGAAGACGTCAATGGCTGGGTTGAAGGTATGGAGTTACATGTATTGAGGTTTAGCGAAACCTGCAGTGTTGCACCAGTTTCGCTACTTGTCAAGCTCGCTTTGTCGAGTTCGCACCTACATTCTAGGCCCGCTCTGCCTATCGGCAAAGTCCAAAGTTTGTACCTTCAGAGGGCCAAGCTTAAAGGAAGCGGAAATATATTTACATTTTTTTTTCTTGTGGCAATTAAGGATTTATTTTCAATGGTTTACAGAAAGTAACGTGTAGCGAACGTGATGCCAACTAAGAAGTAGCGAACGGCGACAAGCTGCGAAACCGGTTGTTTCCATGGAATAAGATCCTTTTTAGGTGGTGTAATACTGCCTCCAGTTCTGCGGAGAACAGAGTTTTGATTGGGAGCATGTTCGCTGTATCAAGGATTAACTGGGGAGAAATTTGTTAAAAGAAGCCGTTAAATGAAATGGAACAATCGCATATTTAGAAAAGAAGCCCAGAAATATAGGACGTGGAACTCACACTCCGCTAGACTAAGAATGCGTTTAACGTTCAGTACGATCATTCGGATAAAATGCCGTGATTCACCTTTTCAGTCGGACAAACGTTGTGTTGACTTTTAAGTACTACACAAATCTTCGGCTACAATTGTTAGTTTTTGGCATGTGATCTATCCGGTCATCATGTTGGAACACGCCCTTGGGCCGATTTTAGTCAGACATTAGGGAGCTTAAGCAACGCGGACGGTGGCAAAAGCGGCTCTTAAAAAGTGAATTCACGCTGTTTCGAAATTCATTGCTCTTATTTCATGTCGTGCAACTTATCAAATGTTGTTGAATTTTTTTGACGTTGAATTCTGAAGCTTAAAGACTGTATCTAATTAAAAAAAAAAAAAGAAATTAAAGAACCGTCGTCTTGTTCCCACGTCCCAACAAAACGTGAAATTAGGCAGTCTCACGTCGTGGTTAGTCGTGCAACGACGGTCAAAAATGTACAAAAAAGCGTGATGTGCGTGCAAAGTTGTTGTTTGCTAATCTAAGACAAACTTGCACGAATCCACCTTTCGTTTTTACGGGACCCGCGGAATCGTGCAAGTTTTTTTTATCGGCAAACAGTCCGAGAATCTGTGACAGAGTTTGTATGGTTCGGTGTAAACTGTTTGCACAAGTTAAAAAATTCGTCCGTTCAAAGATTTGTCCGCAACCCTGTAAACGGCGTCTAAACCTTTTGCATTTTTGACGTCCTCGCTGCCGTCGTCGTCGTCGTCTTTGCTTAAACTCCCTTTGTCGGATGACCGACTGTTGTTTGCAGATCTTCTCACCTGCCGAATTTTTTGCGTTTGTTTTACAGCTATACAGACAAGCAAAGAACATGAAGTTGATGAAGGTTTTGCTGATGTTATTGAAAAGGGTTGGCTTATCAAAGAGGGTGCTAATGACGACTCCAGACGAAAGAGGCAAGTCGTAAACTTCCGTCATATCAACCCTGTGATTACGCCACAGAAACAAAACATCTTGTCGTCACAACCATGTTTACGTACTCTCCTGCAAACACGCCTATTGGCCAATCAGAGCTTGCGTACTATGTTAGATATTTCATACAGAGAGGTAACACAATTGTTGGTAAACCAGCAGTTTTCATTGTGGCCCACAAGGGTAAGAATCCCAACTGGCCGGCGGCAAACCAGTTTGCTATTTACAAGTGTGACCGCGAGGAGTTAAACTCGGGACTACCAAGACCAAATCCAGTAAGCGTGGTAGCGAACTCGGAGCGTTCGGATTACAACTCCAGCGCTCTAACCGCTTGTTCACGCTGCGTCTAAATAAAACTCACTTGTCGAAGAATTTCAGGGAGCTCGTGTTGGCCATGTTGATCATGTTATACTTTCCTGTGGAGGATTTTGCCAAACATTCCCCCTTCACTGGTGATAAGAGCCAGTCACTTAAAAAATGTTAAGCTTTCGACCTGTATTCTCCTCAGCTATTAACTTCATTTTTTGTTCCCAGTTTTAAAGTGTATTTTTGTCCAGTTTGAATTATAATTTTCTATTTTATCACTTACTTTACACCATCTCCAGCTTGACTCCTTGAATTTCTCGTCCCGCAGCCATTTCAATTTTGCAGCACTTACAGTAGTCTGCTACACAGCCGTTTTTAGTGTCGTCACGCAACGCTCCTCCCCACTAGTGAGGAGGAGCGTTGCGTGACGACACTAAAAACGGCTGTGTAGCAGACTACACGTGCTGTAGTTAAATTGCATTTTCCTCTATTTGGTTGACAGATGGTGTGTTTTGACCGGAAACTCGCTTGATTACTACAAGTCATATGTAAAGAACAGCCCCAAATTTGGCTCCATTGTCTTGAATAGCCTCTGTTCTGTTGTATCACCGGAAGAAAGGGAACCTGGTAAGAGCAATATCCTTCCTTTCCTCGTAATTCATATTACTACTTCCAGAGCTGTGGCTAAAATGTCCAAGTATCACTAACCTTCTGTTCGCTTAAGTGGCCACAGAGTCACTATTAAAAAGGGCTTAAGGCTCGACATGGTCTTAAGGTCTCCATTTTCCCGTTGTTATAGTCTTCATTTCTTGAACTTTCTGTAAACTCACGTACTTGCCTGGTTTTTTAGGTGACTGGACGTTTATTGTGAATGGGAGAAAACGATCATACGTTCTCCATGCAAAGCTTCAAGAGGAGGCAATTCGCTGGGCTAATGCCATCCAGGAGGTGTGTGTGACTGTGCAAAAAAGAATTATGTGTTTGAGCTTAGATGTGTAGTACTTTGGTCCAGGATGTGTTAGACCCTTTACGAGTGATCAGGATTTTATTGGTCCAAGGTAAAACACGTGGTAATGAGAATAATGAATTAGACCCTTTCAGCTTCTCCCCAATATTTCTATAGACAATGTATAGGGACAAATGAGAATTAAATTTTGGCGTTAGGGTTTAAAGGATTATAAGTAAAAGTTAGAGAGAGAAGCGCGTTTTGACAGGGTAGAGGTATACTGCACGCGGTCATTTCGTGTATCATTGAGTTTTATCACTGCTTGGGAATTTTTTAAAGACTTGTAAGGAGTGCGAATGCATTTAGAACTGTTTTCATGTCTTTGAAAATTTCGCATAGCTGGTTAATTTTGATGGTTGGCATTTTGGCTTCGGCGTTTGTTACCAGTGACTCGAGCTTAGTCTTTCTTTTAAAGTGTTTTATTCTTCTAAGCTATTTATTTGCCATGAGGTCGACTTTTGATCCTAATACTAAATATTTGTCTTTTTCAGGTGATCGACTCTAAACCACCGGTAGAAACTCCATTTGAGAAATTGGTAGCGGAGTTAAAGGTAAAGAATATTCACCTTTTTCACATAGACCATAACGCACGTTGTCTACCTCCCAAAATTTTGCATAACCATTGTTTCCAATTTCTCCTGGATATTACATTCATTCCAAGAGAAAATCGAAGACAACGGATTGGCAAAATTTTGGGGGATAAACAGGGTGCATTGTGGTCTTTGTGAAAATAGTGAATTCTCATTTTCAGCCTCTGTTAGGGGGAACTTGTATGGCAAGAGTTGTGGTCATCATTTGTGGCTTAATAAACCAGTAGGTTTTTGGATTTAATGACAGTAATATAATCTTAAGAGAAAACTTTACCACTGATCTTTTTTTTTGCATTTACAGAACACCACGACAGAAAATGAGACGGACCAGGTGTATCGTACCAATCCAGTGTTGAAGTACTCCAAGATACCACTCAAGGCTCCTCTCCTACCCCTCCCTTACGGACAATCACAGTCATCACGTGAGTTAATCAATCAAGGTTGAGGCCATGTTCGCATGAGCTAATTAAAGTTTCCAAAGCCATACAAACTTACGCCTTTAAGTTTTTACTGAATGAGGTGTCCAAGGAAAGAAGGAAAGCAATAAATTCTTCGAGCCCACGAAGAAAAATTTCCACGTGTAAGAATTTATGACAGTAAATCTTAGCGATCTGTTAACATTCGTGGGTAGTAGAATGCACTTTTACCATAGATTTTGCCATGTTACCCGCTCAGGGACTTTTTGTGGGAAACATTTTTATTGTAGATGTCATGTAACCACGAAGTAAAAAATTTGAGAGCTAGCGCTGTTGGAAAAAATTTCAGTTATATAACAATGATATTAATAATAATAATAATTATTATTATTATTATTATTGGTCTTTAAGGTGCAAAGGGTAAAGGTTATGGAACCTTTCACGAAGAGGCTGTTCGAGTTTTTAGCTCTCTACTGGAACAAGAATCTATTGCAGATCCTATTCCGGTTATTCAAGTAAGTTTACTCTCGCTTCTCACATGAAGTTAACCATCACCGTGACAAAGGGATTTTAAGTACAAGTTTTAAAACGAACTTCAAACGCGTCATGCCACTGAAAAACTGACTTCGTATCGTTTCAAACTTTTCGTCATTTTCCTAAATAGCTGGGAAATTAAGTTGGAGCTGAAGGAAGAGGATTACTCCCGAGCTAAAATTTATCGCCTTTCTGTTCATGTGTACTCAAGAAACTTGACGAAGTTTGGTTTGTTGGCAAGGACGGGAAATAACAGAAAAGCGTGCTGCTCGTGCAGAGTTGTTGTTTTGCTTGCTCGCTGCAGTGTTGCTTTTTTGACGTTATTGCTCCCGTCGCCCGTTGTCGTCGTAGTATTCTAAGACACCAATCAATATGCGCTGTTAACCAATCGTGAGGTCAGGATGGTAGGCCAATATCCAGCCCAGCCATCTTACCTTAGCAGTCATGATCAAATGGATTTTTTTAAACGGACAAAATAACCTCTTTTGCGGGCCCCAAACGGGAAATACCAATGGGCAAGAAGGACCCATCTTGCGCACTCGGGTAGCCAATCAGAACAGAGGGTTTGCTTCACCTTGCCTTCTCGCGGAACCAGCCGTTGCATAGAGTTCGCGCGTGCAAATTACTGGTCCTCAACACAACCAGTTCTTGGGCGTCACTCGAAATAATTTTAGGAAAGAATGGAGAATTAAACCTCTATTATGCAGGCACCTCTACTAAGCGGCCGCGGCCACCTCTTGGCCGTCGCAACAACAGCTCTCCCATTGTTTTCACCTCTATTTAGCGGCCATCAAGCCCTTGATACACTCACTTTGGCTATAATTCAAGAATATGGTGAAACAAAACAAAGTCCGAGGCAGAAGGTGGCGAGCGATTGTGGACCAGTAATGCTGCTACCGTTGCGCGTTTGTTTGAAGGATAGAGCATTGTTTCTGCTAAAGATTATGCTGATTTACTGACCAACCTCTATGAGCAGCCAACCTTGATTAAGCGGCCACTTACCGGTACCCCAAGAGTGGCCGCTTAATGGCGGTTCAGCTGTACTAACCTTTTATCTTTTCCATAGATTTACCGTGTCGATACCGTGGTTAACATTTCCTGTTGCCTTACCTTTCACATTACCTTATTTTGTTCCCGATTTTTTTAAAGAAAGGTTCCGTTCAGGATTTAGGTGTTACGAACAGTTTGTGTATGGACATGCAATGAATCCAGCTTTGATTAAATATTGTCATTGTATCTTTGGCTTGCAGGGAATTCTCCAGACCTGCCAGGACCTAAAACCTTTACGAGACGAGGTATTTCTATGTGACCTTAGTTATGAGATACGTTGTTAAATATTTTTGTCCCGGTTGAAACTTGCTTGCGTTAACATTACTGTCTTTTTCGTTATTTTCACTAGGTTTTCTGTCAGCTGATAAAACAGACTACCCACCATCCAAGTCCAGACTCCATTGGAAACTTAAGAAACATGCAGGTATTGAAATTGAGAAATACTTAATGGCGAGCTCTTGTGTAAGGTGTTATATATATATATATATATATATATAAGGGATGAAGTTAAACGCAATCTGCTTACCCATAATATATATATATATATATATATATATATATATATATATATATAT